TTGCGATTATCCGTTGTGCATGGTGTAAAAAATCATTGTGTCTTGAACATTCTTACAATGATCATTATATATATAATACGTACAATAAATGAATAATGTATCATTTTCATTAGGATACGACTCTGGGAAAAAGAGGATTATTTTTTTGGCATCGATTTCGATGTTATTTTAAAACTTGCAAAGACACGTATCTCGTAATTTTTCATGCTCTTTCGATTGAAATTGGTCCCATTAAGACATAATTAATTGTTTTTAAGTTATAGATTTTTTTGTTCTTTTAAATAAAAAAAAATACGTATCCGCAAGTTTTATAAATATGTAAATAAAGGTATTTTTCATCATAAGGTGTTAACTTTGGGGGTGATTTTTACCACTTCAAAACGTTTTTCCGTTGAAAAAGAAAATACGTGTTTCATCATTTTTGACGCAGATTATTATATAGAAGCCTTAGTTAAATCAAGGGTGACCACCTCGCGGGATTTCCTTGTTAGTCTTTTTTGTCGTAAAGAACCATTATTCTGTGTTTATAACGAATGTCAATTACTATAAACTAGATATAATCATCTATAAACTTACACGACCATTTATAAAAAGATTCCCCCTATATTGATCTATTTTATTTGGTAAGTTCATGGTTTAATAAAAAATACGTTTTTCCCGTAGTTTAATACATATTTTTTTTATCATAAATCATATGAAATTTTTCAAAAACATGTATAATCATTTACGATATTTTGTTATTGATGTAGTATTCTAATGTATTAATTTAATTTATCAACAATATTTATCATTTACTAGCTAGATCCTCCTTCTAACTGTTTACAACATTCATTATAAAGTATTTTATATGCATGAACAAAGAAACGTTTTCATTTGGGATCAAAATTTTTAACTTAGCAATATTGTTTTCTTCATGCAAAATGGAAAAAATGATTGAGGTTAGGAAATAGGATTAAGATGTAACTTGCTAAATAAAATATGTTTACACATGATTAATCAAAATTTTAATGTTTGTCTATAATGAAACATAATTACCTTTGAAAATTTCTTGTTAATTTATCAAATTTCACACTTCTAAAATTTTTTTAACAACGTTTATTCATTTATAATCATCAAAAAATGTGATGCCATATTCAAAACAATGAACAGAATGGTTTCGAGTTGCGCAATACACTATTTTATTTTATTTGTTATTAAAGCACCATCACCTAGGTGCCGCTCCATGACCTCTACATTACCCTAATTTTTAATTATTTCATAATATCGATAAAACAGAATGATGAGGATAGGTAAATGATCGGTAATTGTAGAAAAAAAACAAGTTATTATAAGTTGTGAAGAAATCTTTCTTCCTATCATTTAAATAAATTTCGTTCATATTTTGAAAAAAAAATACTTTGTATTTTTGAGAAGTTTCAATGTAGCTGCAACAGATTTCATTTTGTTGCAGTTACAGATTTTATTTGTTGTATTTACAAATGTGTGAATTCTACAGAAGGATGTAACGATAGACGAAGAGTGGTTTTTAATCTGCGTCGACTGTTGTGCCTTGATTTGACTCATTATATTTCCTATTATCCAATTCTTTTATTATTCTTTACTATTTCAGTATGTAGATGTTTCGAATTTCAAACATATTCTAATAGCCTCTACGCCACATCGATGAAGTTTACAAGCAAATAGTCTTACAAAATGCGGTTTCCTTCCAAAGGATGAAATCAGCATATACACTAAGAACGCATTAAATGCTATAAAGGGTTTGGAAAAAGATTATCGAGTTATAGTGATTAAAATGAAATCCAATCACTTATAAATTTATGAGTCTTGAGGTAAACATCAGTGCTCTGCAGTGGTCTGAGTGCCACCCAAAAGGTCTACATGACCAACTTCCCAGTGGAAATTTAGAATTTATCATAAGATTGAATTTCAGTTTATTTACAACAGTTTAATTGTTATAGAAAGAAAATCGTTGATAATCATGATACATAGTTAGTACCTTTGCTTTAGTAATAAAAGAAAATGGCTGTAAGATAAACTCCAATACCTTGCATCCAACCCGTTTCCCAATATTTATAATAAATTTTATTGTTATGAATAGAAAAAACATGTTTATATTTATGCCATACGGACATACTGGGAAGTTAATGGAGGTTTAAGGCAGGGCTGAAGTCAGAAAGTTTCCCGGAGTTGACTTTACGCCCTCGTGTTGTGCGGCAAAAGGCCGAAGCTTGACATCAACTGAAATTGAGTAGGTAACAGGGAAATCGTTCGAAAAATGATAATTTTCAGGGATGCACTACAAAAAGGGAGCCTTAGGGCACCAAGAAATTTACAAATTTTTGAATAATCTGTTTCGAGCAAGACAGAGCACAGAATATATCTATCTATCTCCGTCTTATTTTTCAGAGAAGACTGCGAGTTCGAACAGTTGACGAGCAAGCACATACCCCACCCTCTGTTACCAAGCCTGAAGCTTATGATCTCTAAACGTAAACAAAGCAAATGAAAATATGCTGGCTCTGTAGTCAGAAAGTTCGACAGTTATTTTACCGAACGTTGTTCGATTCCAATTGCGGCAAAATTTTTTTTTTATTCAAATTGCATGTAATTGCAATTTTATTATGCCAAAAATGAGTTTTAAATTTCAATTTTTATGTAAAATATTTTTTTCAATTAATCAATGACAAATGAGAAAATATTTGAACAGAGCCATAAACTCTTTTTTTGTACAAATACATTGATAATAGCCTTTTTTAACAACTTATTAACAATAAAAAGTAGTTTAAACAATCTGTGGCGAGTTCCGGCACTTCCCCGGCAAGCTCTACCCACACTCTTTGTGCCCAAGCCTGCAGCTTATAATTTTGAAGCATCGTTAATATTGTTGAAATCGTAATAGCTCAGTGGTTAGAGCACTAACCTTTCTTTTTGCTGGGCAGGGTTCGATCCCAGTCATAGGCAATTTTTTTTTCTTTTTTTTGCTTAAGTGACTTTATATACTTATAAATAATTTCATATATTTTACTAAATTATTCTTCCAATTGATTACGGAAAACAACTTGTTTTTCTGAAAATAAGCTGAGGATGAAGAACGAGTTACTATGAATTCTTTTTTTTCGAAAATGTTGTCTTTAAAAGACAATAGGAATTGATTTTGAACTTATATAAGCAACCAATTATTGTATTTATATAAAATTTGATTGAAAAAAAAAGGAAAAAAAAATTGGCTATGACTGGGATCGAACCCTAATCGGTCAAATGAAAGCTTGGTGTTCTACTTACAGAGCTAACACATCATATCTGACATTACGTTTATGTTTATAAATTGTGTAATGCAGGCTTGAGTACGAAGGGTAGGGATAGAGTTTGCCGGCGAAGTGCCGGAAATCCCCGTGGATTATTTCAACTACTTCTAAATATTTCTAAATTGCTTAAAAAAAAACTATGTTCATATAGCTATAGTAAAAAATGGGTTTATAACCCTGTTCATATGTTTTCCAACTCGACGTCGATAAATTACATAAATAATTGAGAAAAAAAAATCAAATCGTTGGTAAGAATTCATTTTAGCATGTTAATATTATAATTACATGCAAATCTAACAAATGAAAAAGAAAAAAAAAACCTTACCATGACTGGAATCGAACCCTGCCCATCAAAATGAAAGACCGATGCGCTAACCACCGAGCTATTATGATTACAAAACATTTATATATGCTCAAAAATTATAAGCTGCAGGCTTGGGCATAGAGAGTAGGGGTAGAGCTTGCCAGCGAAGTGCCGGAACTCGCCACGGATTGTTTAAACTACTTTTCAACGTTGATAATAATATGATTAACTTGTTAATAACATAAAATTGTTAATACATGTAAAGATGTATAAGTTGTTAAACACAGGCTATTATCAATGTATTTATACAAAAAGAAAGTTTATGGCTCTGTTCAAATATTTTTCGACTTAGCGTCAATAAATTCAATGAATAAAGAGAAAAAAAAATCAAATTGTTATAAAGGAATAATTATGGTATGTCAATATTGTAATTACATGCTAATCTAACGAATAAAGTAGAAAAAAAGTGATTATGACTGGGATCGAACCCTGCCCGGCAAAATAGAACTCTGACGCTCTAACCACATAGTCAGCATAATCTCAATATTGAGTTTATGTGTATTTGTTTTTACACTACATGCTTGGATACGCCGACTTGGAATTGAGCTTCCTTATTAACATTTATACCTAATAAAAATGATAATAATGGATGAATATATGTATTTGAAGTTATTTGCAGGTATTATATTAATTAATGTTAAATGAGTATCATCATTTTTATTTATTCTAACTGCAATAGTCATCAAAGTATAAGGCATTGTAAAGCGATGCACTATGTTTACATCACATACATATATTACCCGTACACAAATACAGAATTTACTCGCCAAAATGCAGGGCACCATCAGTTCTGGATACGGATTGAGCATTTTTTCAATATGGATGACTGAGGTCATCTGCGAGCATAATGCTGTCACCTATCAGAATTTTTTCAAACTAATTTTCCGGAGAATATCATCTGGAATACAAGATTTCTAATTATTTCTAAATTATTCAATTTTATACTATGAATTGATTTTTTTAACATTCAGACAGGTGGCAAGGACTGACGCAAACACGAATTTTGGGCGAAAAACGTATAAAAATGAAATAATTAGTGATTTTTCATCTGAATGATGTGGCCGCCATCTTGAAATTTAAGCGTGGCAAGTCAATTCATAATTTTTTCATTATTCTTTCTAATTTATTTAATAAAAATATTCACTATATACAAAAAATTGTTGTTTACGTCAGTCCGGCATTAATTCCTCTGTAATTTGGTACCTAATTTTATAGAAATAATAGTAAATTGGCGAAGAAATTAGAAATATCCCGATCCCATGTATTTGGATAGGGGGAATCAGTCACCTCTCTGACTTCAGCCCAGCCTTAAAATGTTATATCTTTTTAAGTTCCAGATTTATCTTCAAAAAACCACCTCTTTCATATGTAAAAAATCTCTTTACATTACCGTTCAATCGACTTGTTTGGTATGCTATTTCATTATCAATATGTGCAATATGTGGATTTCTATACCTGGTCTTGAAATGGGAATGGAAACACACAAGAAACAAGCAATCGGTATTCCAGTACAGCGGTCAGTTAAACAATGACCCTAACTTGAGTGACAATTTATTGATTTTGATAGGTGCTTTATTTCAACAAGGTAAACAATACATACATATCGAATAATTTTTAACCAAGAAATATGAAATTTTTTTAAGTTCATAAATAACGTAATTGTATAGATAGTTCTTTAATTTTCATGAATCTAGTCTCTAAAACGTAGCACAACAGATTTCAAAATGATTAAAGATTAATAGGAGTAATAAGTATTATATTTCATTCATGAAGCAATCAGTTTTCTCTGCTTTCTTGGTGTTTTTATCACCATTATTTTCAGTACTTCAGATTATTCAGAAACTTTTGATTATTGATTTTCTTTCGTAACACCTAATTTTTTATGAATCTAAAAAAGTCTAATGTAATTATTCAAATGCTGTCGTACGTGATATGAATTATATTCACTTGATGTTTTAAAGACACAAATTCATTACAGGATCATCTTACGAGCCTCGAAATATCTCTGCAAAAATAGTGATATTAATGTTATTGATTCTATCATTGAGCCTTTATGCTTCATATACAGCTAAAATTGTTGCACTCCTTCAATCCACAACATCATCAATAAATACAGTTCAAGATCTTATAAAGAGTGGATTGAAAATAGGAATATATGATGTTGTGTACAACCGATATTATTTTCAGGTACGTATCGTAATTGTCTTACTAATAAAAAGATCGAATCAACAATAATGGCGTTAATTATCATAGGCTGTGCAAGATCCAATGAGAAAAAATTTCTATAAAAATTATGTTGAAAATAAAACTTCCATATGGATGTCGTTGGATGAAGGCATAGAAAAAGTTAGAAAAGGACTATTCGCTTTCCATGCAGATGCAACTGCATCATATTCACTAATACAAGAAACGTACGAAGAAGAAGAGAAGTGTGGCCTTCATGAATTTGATTACCTAAATTTACTGTATCCAATGCTTGTTTTACCACTCGACTCACCTTACAGAGAAATATTTAGAGTTGGGTAAGTTATGGTCTGATAATAATTAACAACGTGATTAAGCTAATAAGCACAAAAATTATGAGAAAAATGTCATCTTGAAAACGAAAAATACGAGAACCCATAATGTTTTTCTTATTTAAGAAAAAAAAGTATTGCATAAAGTGTGCCAGTCATCTTGTGTGGTTTAGATTGTTTCCTGGTGCTTCATTTTAAATTGTGCTCATTTCTGTAGCTCAGCTGGAATCTATGCTTTGCACAGATTTTTAGTCTGAGCTCATAAATGCTCTGACCTGATAGTCTCTATAATAAAAATAAAACTCCTTTTGGTGGTGGAGCTCTATTACAAGCTTACGTTCCACTATAGATGGTCAGAATTGTCCATGGCGCAACTGCTTAACAAATTGAGTGAGGAACTTCAAGGTAGATGAGCAAATTTTTTGCTAACGATATACTCCAGATCCTAGCTGTCAATCTCGGACATGAACTAACCCTGTATTTTTTCGTAATTTGTTATTCGTGGTCTACAAAACTAATCTGATATTAAGCACTTTTCATGCTTCATGTTCCGTAAAAAATTATAAACCTCAGTAGAATGCTGCCACTTTGATGGACCCGTCAGCTGGAGCAGTTTCACAAGGAGTGGGGGTAGCCGCGTAGTGTTGCGTAAGGCAGCGGAATCATGGGTGGGGGGGGTAAGAATTTATAGTATAATAATTAAATTATTTTATGCTAATTGAACTTCATACCATCTAATTATTCAATGATTTTTATGTAATTCATTACAAAACTGAAAATTTTTCAATATTTACTATTAGCGCATGCGTACAGCGTCGCGCTTCGAGTGGTTTGGCTAAACGGCATTGACACGACATCTAAAACTATTTCAAACGTTCAGTCTTGCCCAGCCAGGGCCTACGCTCGGGAGCACTGTTGTTGCAGCTCGCCGCATGGGAAAATGAGACTACAGGAAGCTGCGCACGAACGCGTTTCTATATTTATGGTCGCTGCGTGCAGACTATGCATGCTCCAACTCTTATTCAGTTGCAGCTGTGGCGCTTAAGCAGTAAATTGTGCGAGTGAGAGGACAACGACACAGCAAAACATAAAGGCATAGGAAACAGATAGATGTATTTGATGCTACGAGCCACGTGTATCACGCATCAATGTTTGACGCCATTGCTTAGCGACGTGTAACAACTTGAGTGAAGGATGTTCGTCTAATTGCATCAAACGAAATTATTATAGGCGTCGTACGTTTGTATCATTCATTGATACGTTTTTATTGCGATGTAAACATAAAATTTTGAACCACACGAAATGATAGATTTTGTGTCACTGACTGTACCATAGCTCTCTAACTCATCAGTTAAGTTATCCAGATAGTTACCTGTTTCAAGATCTGTACTATTTATATTAGAAATATAAATAACTGAGTTAGTATCACAATACAAAGCGCGAGCGCCTAATTTTTCTAGATAAGAATAGAACTTTAAACGGGTTTGGACTGTTGTGTGAGCTTCTATGACAACATTTGTAGTAGGGTGTCTTCTTCCTTCTGTACGTATGACACATACAAAATATCAGTATTAACGTAGTGTAAACCAGTGATGTCGATCTCAGGATTTGTCAGTAATTTCATGATCTTAAAACGGTTATTTACTATTTCAGTTTAGGTAAGATTTTCAAGCTGCCCGAATTTACCGTAACAATCACCCTGATTAATTATTCCAGCACATGTTTCGCATCATACAAAAAAGAGTTTACCATCAAATCTTGCCGGTAAAACAGGATATATAAGGTCTCGAGGTGGTAAGATAATACATTTTACAAGCCCTTTCATCCGATCAAAATTATTTATATTTTTAAGACTTTCATCATATCCAGTGCCATTCCTACCCCACAATAAGAGTATAGCTTGTTGAGTGTATTTTATAAAAAGTAACCAGCGCTAATTCCAAACGCTGATCAAGTGTTTCAACGGTGTGAAGTTGTTGATCTCTGTTCACGCGATAACACATTGCACAAGTATGCCGATAACAACTGAGAAATCGAAATACAATTTTTTAAAAAAATTTAAACTACCTAAAAATGTTACATTATTTATTGTCAATAATCTTACTACCATTTCAAATAAGCTTCAGAATACGTGTTTTCTTGTTTTCTATCAAATAACGAAGATTAATCTGAGCATCAAAACTATGTGCATTATGAGCAATACATATTGTAAAATATTTGTATGTCGCCATCTAATGACTATTAGACTGACGACAGTTTGTTAGTTAACGACGATTGCTTGACGATTAGATTGTTTATAGCAACGAGGGGAGAGTTTGTTTATCTCTAGTTTTTGATCGAGACTTATCCGCACGTATTCTTTCGTTTTAATTAATTGCTGTTGATCTGTAATAAACTTTTTCTTTCTTAATTAATTTTCTGAAGTTGTTATTTGGTTTTATTTTACAATATTATTGTAGAAAAAGATTCATATGTTTGAAACACAAGATCTACGAGATTATATTGTATATTTTTAGATGAAAACATTTTTTACAAATTTGCATTAGATTACAAATAGTTGAATCTTTATTTTGCTATTAAGTGGAGCGGACCCTTTCACAGATGTTTATTGTAGCAGCTGTTACTTACAAAATATCTATTACATTCATCACACATTCGCTGTTTTACAGGTTTACAAACAGGTGCACTACCACACCAGACATCCAGAAACACAACGATGTAAGGCGGGCACTGCAGCATGACTTTTATTGCAACCTGGACAAAAAAAACGCAAACTTATTGTCGTACTAAGATTCAGTATAAGTTCGTAATGGTGTGTTTGCTAATAATATAAAATGAATAGGGTTTGGCTGATAGAACCATAATGCTCTTTAACGACCCACCGACGATCGAATAAGAGTGGACATCCTTTTCTTAAGGTGTCAAACTCGAACACAACAATAGCCGTACCCTTGCAGACAAAATATCGTTGGAAAGCATTGATTTTATTAAGGTCACAGCCTTGATGATGTATTTTAATGCCAGCTTGGCCTACTAGTTCTAAGGCTGCGTCACGTTGCAAATTACACCGTCGGTCACATATTATCTTCCAACGTTTTTGTAGATTACCTGTACGAATTTCGCTGTATTGAGCATAAAGTTCAGCGATAACGAGTGAGCGTAGAAAGCATAAATTATCATTATTTATGTCCTTCTACTCCTCGAATTTTGCAAAATAGCTCCCACAAATCGTTACTTGTATATTGTTAGGGTAGCCTAAAACGAGACCATTTTGGTCCACTTGTCAGCTTTTTATTATGAATAGTAAAGGCTATTCTATTACGCAATGTACAACCCTATGTAATGTATGTAGAAATAGCAGATTAAGTGCCTTCAAACCATTCTAAATGATTTCGACCTCAGGGTGTTAGGGATATTTTTATTAGACGTTCTTTACCTGTAATTTGGAACTTATTGAAATTTTTCACCCGTTCTCTGTCGATTATGAAACGATGTCCCAGTAAATAGATGGTCGCAACGGTGTTTGATAAGGTACTTCGTAAATCGTTGACTTTGACGTTTGAATCAAGAATTTTTTTCTGCTATAAATCTAGTTGCAGCACGGTCTCTCTGCATATCTATAATTAATTTGATAGTTGTAAACAGCCTTATTATTCACGAGATCCCTAATTATTATATTCAAACCTACATAACTTTAATAATTGTAATAGTCGTAAATTTAACATAAAGAAATTCAAAAACATTTACTTTCTGAGGATGATGATGATGACCTTGGCTGACAAGGGTGATCAGCATTAGTAACTCTTTTTCAATCCAGTCCTTCATCATTGCTTTCCTCAAAAGCATCGACTAATGACACGCTTGATGATGACTCGTGAGTTGGGTGTAAGCCGTCCGAAGGTATATCGTCATCAGTTTCTTCTTCAGTATTAAGTCTATAAGGAATACTGATATCACAGCCACACTTCAAATATGGACAGATGTTGTAGATGGTGTAATGTCACCATCGACGTTCCAAGGACCATGAAACTTCAGGTTTTATCACTGATGGTGGCAAGCTGCGTACTCGAATCCAAATGTCTAACACAGTTTTATAAGAAACATGAGCAGCAGTGGAAGTTGATGGTTGAGGCTGATCAACGTTAATGATGTTAGTAGAAGTAAATAGGTGAGGATTCTCAATTTCAGCTGCATCTTTGTTCTCTTGAATTTCAATCTTTTTAACTTTAGAGATACTGTCAGCTTCTTCTTCAGTTCCAAAATCAGAAGCTATGAGGACATATTTGTAGCATCGCTCTGTAGTACAAAGATTTTTAGAAATGTCGATTATTTAACTGGCACATGAACATAAAAAACATCGTACCATAATAACTGAGAAAAGGGAAAACACACGTGGCATTTACTAGAATACTGCTTATTGAAGCCTCAGCGGCTTCATGCATAGTCGTAAAATTCGATGTTAACAAACTGCGCGTATGTGCACGGACTGATAAACGACAAGATACACGTAATATAATGCATCTAAATAATCTCAATAAACACGTGCATGACCAATTATTCCATCGTTCAAGTCTAGGCTCAGGATAAAACCAGGCATTTGAAAATGCAGCAGTGAATGTTCCCATATTGTGCATATTTGTTGCTCTCAGGGAAAGAAATATTCTATTCTCTCCTAAAAATTCTTACAAATGCTAAATGATATAATTCTTTAGAACATATTTTTATACTACCCAAATCGAGATTAAAAATGATTTTCAAAAATCCTCACGTTTGCACCGATCATATTGAAGGTTATTCTTCGTAATCTTTTTCTTAAAATAGAAAGTCTTTAAAGCTGTTAGCGTTGCAGAAATGAGCGTTTTTCAGAAGTTCGAGTTACATTATTAAATGTCATTAAAATGCAATCTTCACAGGTGTGCGTTTGAATCACGTCAGCAATAATGTTTAAGCTCGTGTTTCAATTATTGACGCTAAATGCTCAGGAGCAGTTTTCAATGTTGACAATT